GTTTGTGTAGCTCCCAAAGGGAAAACAGCTTTACTAGGTGACCAGAAATGGAGACAAGCTAAATGTGTGTGGACTCTGATGTGGCAAAGCATAGAAGCATGGCCTTATTCTCCATGTAGCCCAGCCCCATGGCAGAAAAACATGTTCCTTGGGCCTGATCAGAATGAAGCTTGTACTGGAGTGATTTGTTGAACTGATGCTTCTGGGTTCATTGAAAGCTCACTAAGCAAATGGAAAATGTTGCATTAGCATTAATAAGATTCAGAAACTAAAATCCTATGATCTGCAGAGCATGAGGCTGATTTCACAGTAAATCGCCTCATTGCAGTTTTTGAACTGAAGAAATGTAATGAGATTAGAAGGACCTTCTCATGGATTTTTTTTTCATTTCACAGTATAAATGAGCATGTATTGCCTATAGATATGTTTTTGTCTGCTACGTATCACCAACTAGTAATTCCAAGAAATTTTTCTTCTCTGATGATGTCTTGAAACTTGTTGGGCTCAAATAAGCATTATGACCTGGAATAGATGACAACTTTGAGTCAGATCTTACAAGAATACAGTTAAAAGATGGCCATTTTCATCACTTCTGCATAGCAAACAACCAGATTAGAATGTGACTTTCTGAATGAATAAATTGTGAAATCTTTGTTAGGATGTGTTGGCATGACTAAGTTCTGTTTATTTCTTTGATCAATGTCTTGAAAGACAAATTTAGGGGCATTTTTTGAATAAGGAAGCACAGAGATTCAGAAAATACAACACTAGAAAGGGAAAGGTTCCATTTGTGACCAGGTAAAGACATTAATGAGAAAGTAAATCACACTCTTCATCAAATAAAAACCTTGATAAGAACTGAAAACTGTCAGCAAAAGAAAACTGTAAGCCAGGTTGCTCATCTTATCCATGTTGTGTCTTTAGCAGAACAAAGCATGCCCTAAACAGTCAAAAATGAGTGGATACGTGCTCTCTATCACTTTGGACTCACCCAGCAGAGGAAGGAAGCCAAGGTTGAACAGATGTCCACTTCCAGCCTCACACTGCACCATATGGCAGAGACATACAGACAGTGCCCAGAGGAGACAGACAAAAGGTTTGTTTAATTCCAAAAACCCTAAAGTGTTATGGATGGATGTTATAACAAAAAAGTGGGAAAAGCAGTCTGCAGCTCCTGGTACTGGGCAAGCTGTGTATCTCCCATTCCATTTTATCTGCTGATAAACCAGTTGCAGTAGATTATTTTGCACCAGCTGAGCATGCAGAAGTCTCCCACTGGAGCAGTAAATCTAACCCAGCCTACTTCATAATAGAGGGAACTGCTGAGCCTGATATTTACATGACCTGTAAATGATATTGGACTCCTTTATTTCACAGTAGACTAACCGTGCTGGATGTCACTTCAGTGTGAAATGGACATGCCTGAATATACTAATATATACAGGTTTGTGAAGGAGCTGCAGTAGCACATATTTTGGTTTTCTCATAGTAACTCTGATTCTTGAAAAAAGCAAAATTAGCATTTAATAGATACACAATTTGCTTGATAAGGGACTTGACAAATAATCTTGGCCTATCATGGAGACAGGTAATGAGGAGCTATTTTTGTACTGGAGATCTAGCCCCTTTAATATGACATGGTGTATCTGAAAAATATAGATGAGACAGACAGGGGTAAGCACAGGGCCTTTTTTTCTTCTGGAGTGGCAGCTCCAACAGCATACCCTGTACTAAAATGGCACAGAAACCCACATTCAGGTACCTGAATAAGCAACTCCCTAATTTCTTTGTGAGAAAACAAGAACAAAAAAAATCAGTTCAGCAAACCCAAATATGTAAACTACTAGTTATAAAATTTTTGGCTGTGAGCACTAGCACTGATCACATGGCAAAGTATTATTCTGAACTTTTAAAAAATAAAGTCATTTAAGTGCCACCAGTGCTGACAATATAAAACCTATAGCACTCCTTGCTGTCTGAAATGCACAACGTGTGCCTTCCTTTGGTCAGGGGTGTCTGGGTGTGAGGGACTGGGGGAGGGAGTGTGTGTTGCCCAATTGCCCCAGGGAGAATTGCCTGCCAGCAATTTTCCTTCCAGCATACCCACATCTCTCTAGCCTGTTCATATGGGTGTCAGTCTTGGCTCCTTCCTGCCCCATTCCCTTCCATTCTCCTCACTGTGGAGATATAGCATAGCAAGGATTCTGCTCTCAAGGTCCAACAAAAGTCTTCCATGGAATGGATAGAGACTAGCTTGTCATTTGCAATTTTGTCTGAAAGAATGCTCCATATTTCAGCAGGTTAGCCTCTCCTGTCACATGAGATGGTTGGACATCATCTGCATAAGATAACAGATTCTGTTATCACATGAGCTAAAATGCTCATTTGTTATTTACAACTGGTGATGCACAAAGATTAACCACACTTTTTCCCACTTTTCATCACCCAGACTGCTTAAACTTAATTTTTCAGCTATATTTATCTGGCCTCCTCATTCTTCCTTCTGCCTTTATCCTACTTCAGGCTCCCTTTTCCCACTCTTTGGAAAAAGGAGAACAAAAGAATATGTTTTTTCATTCTTTAAATGGGTTCTACTCCCCAGTGTTCTAAGGAAGAGTATTGCAAAAAAAGCTAGAGGTTGCAGACACAGCAGGCAGGCAGGAACCACAAGTTTCAGTACAGAGCAGATTTGTTTTGTTTTGTTTTGTTTGTTTGTTTGTTTGCTTGTTTAAATGTATTTGACAAGGACTAGGCAAATATATAGTGAATTAAAAGCTTCAGATTGCTAGGTTCAACGGCAAGGTTGGTATTCTCATTTATAAAGCTAACTCATGCAAGCTGGTAATTGAGCATCCATGGTAGCATATATGTGATTTATTGTAATCCCAGATGAATGGTGGTGGAATCCATGACCAAAATTATTTTTAAAAAAGAAAAGGAAAAGAAACTTACTCCATTCCCAAATGTAAATAAAGAATATTTTTAATTCATACTACTATTTTTAATAGTAGTGTAAATTAGAAATTCATACTTCTATTTTTAATTTATACTACTTTTCAAATACTGTAGCTATCCAGGAATAACTGAAGTTATTGGCAAATTACTTCAAATATATGTGTATCTGATACTCTACAGCCATACATACATAGAATAAAACCTTTGAAGGAGATAAATATGGTTTATCATGTTAGCTCCATTAAGCTTAAGTATATGAAAATACCTTTGACAAACTCAACTGATGTGAGCACTGCATTTTGAAAGTTGAAAAGCAACTGAAAACTCAAACAGCTGAAAAACAAAAGATACATTTCATTTGCCTCTGGTTCATACACCAAGCAGGTAAAAAAAATATTTCCCACCTCATCTCTTGTTTTAATCATATGATCAGTTTCAGTCCCTGTTTCATATTAGCATTATGTAAAATTATTCTATTAGGTCCTTGATTTCACTCTATGCATTATATCTGCTTTGTGTTTCATGTACATTTTACTTAGAATATTAGAATATACAGTGGATTATAAGCTTCTGTATTCTACTGTATCTTTACTTAGTCATACACATATTATTACAAAAAGTCTACCACCACATAAACTACTATGTGGTGGTAGACTTTTGTTGGTTGAACTTTTACTGACTCTCCATTAGAGGCAAGATCTTACTTGTTTAAAAAAAAAAAAATAATAAAAAAAGCTGTAATAAATTACATAAAATTTCCTTTTATATTCTTAATTTCTGCTAAGAATATTTTTTAGGTTGCTGGATAATTATCTTTTACCCCTCCTTAGGTACAGGCCTGAGTTCTCAAGGTCCCACAAAACAAATGTATCATAGAACATTAATCCTAAAGGAAAATTATATCAGTGCTCAGCCCCTCCTACTTCAGACAAGCCAATTATAAAATTTTAGTGACAGCAACAGTGCCAGAATTTTTTCCTTTAAGAGGGGCAAAACAGCGAAACATTCCTTCCTTCTTAATGCCTTCAGATAGGGAAATTTAAAGAAAAAGCTCTTGCAAAGGAAATTAAAATTACAGGGAGAGAGAGACATGAGTACAGCATCAGGTTTGACTGACTTGGTAGATTAATGAGATCATACTGAGTTTAACAAATGTTATTTTCAGTAGCTAAAATCAGGGATCTCTGAGCACTGCAAAACCAGGATTTTCTGAGTATTTGACACCTAGTTTTAATAGACATAGAAGTAACAGCCTCAACTAAGTAAAAAGTAAATTTAAAAAAAAATTAAATAGGGAAAGAAAATTTTAAGTTGTAATATTTTGTTTAAATCTCATTTTTAGCCCAAGCTCTCAATATATGTCGGGCAGTCTATTTCATGCTCTTTTACACCACAGTACAATGCAAGTCAATGTCCTAAATGCATGCAAAATGTCCTAAATAAATAACTCTGGCATATAAAAATAATTCTTTGCCAGCCAAGACAGAAAGCAGGTCTATGATCTTTATAACACAAACCTATGCCTGTACCATCTTTATGGAAAGACATAATGAAAATAGACTCGAAGTGATATTTTGTGTAAATGATAAATGATTTTAAATGCCTTTGAATTTAAGGCGTGTACAAAATTAGTACTTTTTGATGAGAAATGGTAAAAATCTCCCAAAAGTTAGTGTTTGCTGACGTAAATAAATGGGCCAAGAGACCTTGTGCTCCTTTCTTGATAAGGCCTTTTTTAAAAGGATAGCCTATGGGGGTGGGGGCTCGGGGTTCGTGACGCCGCCACTGCTCCCAGATGAGTCAACGTCCCAGAGGAGGGGTAGACGAGCCTGTCAGTCAAGGTGGGATTGGAGTCTTTGCCCCTGTAGGATACGTCAAAAGACTCTGCTGTACCTCGTTGGTTTAGGGGGTTTACCTTGCTCTGGCTCCTTTGGTTACAACAATTGGCTTTAGAAATGCTGAGTGCCCTCTCCAGCTCCTTGAAAGTTCCCCTGCATGTAGGAGTAGATCATTTTGCAGTCTCTGCTCTTGGCTCATTGTCTGGGTCCATTCTGGTTTATGTTGAGGTCCAGTAATTAATATACAGTAGACGCTAGGCCCTCTGGGAAACAGGAAGTCTTCCCTGGGAGCAGCTTCCTGGGAGCAGCTTCTGAACTACCTGACACAGTGTAAGGGACAGAAGGGGCTTCAAAATACTAGAAACAGGAAAACAAACAGGTAGGATTTCTTCTACAAAGGATTTTAACAAAGGTGTCAACAGCAGGAAGGGGTACAGAGGCTCAGGGAGTTAACTGGGGGTGTAAACTGGGTATAGGGGCAAATACATAGGGGTGGAACTAACAAATACATGAACAAGCAAACTTCCGAACTGTGAGGAGGTAAACAGACAAAGGGTTAGACATCAAATTTATTCATAACATTTGCTATAGAAAACTGAGTCTTGGGTTAGAAATGTTTATAAAATTAGAAGATAAACAGTAAAATGGTAACCTAGTAAGTAATTTTAATTTTCTAAACCTACTTCTAGAAAATTCATGCGAGGTTATTACCAGATATCACATTCCTTGGTGTCCGAGATTGAGAGGTAAGATGTTTTCTATTGCCATCTGTGTAGCAGTTGCCTCTGGGCACTTTTCCTTATCTCCTGTTAATGGGCCCATCAATGTCTTGCCACATGGCTCAGAGATAACTCCCTCCAGAAGCCATTTTCTGTTTAACAGACGGTCAAGGACCCACCCTCTGACTCAGAACGACATCAGCCCATTGTGAGATGCTCTGCCCAGGGGGGAGGAGCTAAGCATTCCCACCTAGATATAGCCTGGGATTTTTTAGACAGAGAGGCAACCTTCCCATAGGTTTCCAAGAGGACACAGCTGGGGTCTTCCACTAGACCGACTACACCTTTTCCACAGGACCACTGTACAAGCAGAAACCACATCTGCCACTCCAAGATGACTGCAGCCACTCCAATTTGGACTGCTACCAACACGCTGGCCAAAGGGGTGTCAGGTTGTATTCTGACTTTGTCAGTGGTCTTCCTTTTGTATTATTGCATGTATTTTGTCTCTTTACCCTTTTACCAATAAATTGTATTTCTGACTTAGAGTCTCTCACTGGTTTTTCTTTCAAACCAGAGCACTTGGTATGCTAAAAAAACACCAAAATCTATTTCTTTGTTAAATATTGAAGACAAAGCAACAAAATATGATACTAGTTTTATTTTTTGTGAGATAAATCTCACCAAAGTAATAGGAAACTTTAGTTTATAATTTGAGTCAATAAATTCAGTTAAAATTTCAGAAGACCAACTTTGAGAAATAATGGAAATTTTCTATCAAATTTGCCTAGAATGATAAGTTCAAGAACCTGAAACTGAAGAGGATACAGAAAACTGTTGAGTCCAATATATTAGCTTGAAGTTCAGGGGGAAAAATTAATTACTAACCAGAACCTTGAGAGGGTTACAGACTTCCTGAGATGACTAAGCAGTTCCTACAGAAATGAGGAGTAAAAACAGAGCATGCAAATATAGAAAGAGGTAGAAATTTTCTATCTCTTGGGAATTTAGAGATTTGGAAAAGACCAACAGCCTACTGTGGACCTAGATCTTGCAGAGAAAATGAAAATGACACTAGTGTTCTCCTTAGCCAAAAAGCAAGGAGTAAACAGAAACTGTAAAATCAGTGTACTAAAAAGACATTAAAAAAGCCAAAAATAACGAAGCACAACCAAAACATGAGACTAAAGTCAAGGAAGAAAAGAGAGGGTAGAATAATTGAAAAACAATACATATCACAGAAAAAATATCCAGAATGCTCAAGATAACAAAAAGGGCTGAAGGACTGACATGTGAAACCACAGCTACAAATACCCAAACACTACAGAATAGGGAAAAGTATTTAAAATGCCACAACCATGTTTTTGTGAAAGTATAAGTTTATTCTAGATATTGTTGCTCCAATTTTTCACTTTTTTTGACTTGGTTATTTTTCTCTATTTGCACTAGAGAAATTTTTACACATTTTACAATAAAGGCAGGTCATATTTATATGATATTATAAAATTTCAATACTGGAAACCTGGAACCTAACTTTTCTTACAAGATATTGAGAATCCAAATTAAAGAAATATCTCTATGATTTCTGATGATTCTCCACTGCTGTCAATGAAATATTTCTAAGAGCCTCGGTTCTTTTGCTATTATAAAATAACACTGTGCTATTTTACGGGTGTGACTCATGCAATACAACAAACTTGTGACATGTCTAAAACTTTGGTGCCTACCTCGACCCTGCCTGAGATTTCAAGCAGAATTGGAGATAATCACCTCTGTAGTCAGTTCCACTCTACTACCATAGCAGCTGAACAATGAAATAATTAATTTCAGAAAGTTTCTCAGAAAACAGTAATCCACAGAAACCTATGAAGAATCTAATAATCTTGATCTCAATAATCAATAACCAGAACTGTAATGACTACTACAGGAAAAAAAAAAAAAAAAAGAAAAAAAAAAGAAAGGATTTCAAACTAAACAAAAAAATAAAAAGGAAAACACAGCATTGTACAAAAGAAAGGGGAAAAAGAAGGAAAAAAAAAAAAATGCTCTCTGTGATCTGCAAGAAAACAGTCTTCCTGATTTCCAGTATGGTATCCAGCTCAACCCTGAGCATGTGAGCAGGGCTCAAAAACACAGTACCTGATAAATTGATGCTCCTGAGAGTACTAGTGAACACTAATTTCTAGTCTGCCACTGTGTTCAATTAAGAAACTACTTCAGGGAGAAAAAAAAACCCAAGAAGCAACAAAACACAAGCACAAAAGCACCCCACATTATTCATGGAATGAAAAACTAAGCTGGTCTTATTTGGCAAGAGACAAAATTTCTGAAGCATTTTAATATAACTAGCCATTTATAGCATATAAAAAGTACAATCCTCTCCTAAAATATCAATATATCAGACAGGCAGAGATTCTGCTTCACTTTTCAAATATTCTATCATCTTTTCCATGAACTTGACATATTCTGATAATTCTTCATTGTTTTGCTGTTTTGGAAGATTTTTTTGAGCATAAACCTATAAAAAATAAGAAAGGAGGAGGAAGAAAAAAGGAAGAAAGACGAAAGAAGGAAGAAGAAAGAAGACAGCGACAATGACAATGACAACAATGATGCTGACAATGGAGTTTATTTTTGTATTTCTATGGCTATTTTTCTCACCTGAAATATACTTGTTTGTTTTAATAAGTGATCAACAACCCCCTCAGACTCTGTTCCACTAATCAAAACAAGTCAACTACTTTTAATTCCACTTCCTTAGAATAGTCTTCTCCTTTGATTAATCTAGTAAACCACAGCTGCTTTCAGATAAGAATTTTGTTACATGAAAAAGGCTAATCTAAGCATTATATATTATTTCTGAGGAAGTCCTGACATTGTCTCAAATAAGATATCCGACAATTCTATATTCCCATCAGATTACAGTTTTCTCTCCAAATTCGCTGCTGCCCTGTTTTGCCAAAATTATCTAAAAACAGCAGCACTTCTCACACACGACTCATGGGGATGGCCCAGATGCCTCTTCTAGATGACTCGGTACAGAGATTCCCCTTGTCATCTGTTGTCTCCTTTTGGACAAGTGATCAAACTACAGCTCCCTCTGTGCCTGAGTTTTCATTGTTTAATACCATTCTATTCCTATGTCTCCACAATAGTGACAATCCTCTCCAGCTTTCTTGTTTCCCTGATGAAATGAACCCATGGCAGCCCTTATTTGGTGGCCACTACTGCACCTATTCAACAGGATCCCATTGCCAAGTGTCACCAAAAAATGACCCCTGTCCTTTCGGACAACTGTTAAACTGTCCCTTTTCCTCCCGCTCTTTTTATCTACCTCACAATTCCCTAGCAATCTCTGTTATCCATACCTCGTTTTTTTAATGTACAGAAGTCACATACAGATGCTAAACCTAGACATTCTCTGGATTAGATCCCTTTTTTAAGAAACTGGAAATATTAAAAAAAACTCAAAAGGTGGAATTGCATTTCTCTCTTTTTCCTTTTCACACTTTTCTTCAAGATCTTTTCTAAGACAATGTCTGGTACTTAGGTCTACTATCAAGAAGTTTGTCGGTGGGTAATTTTCCAAATATTCTGGAATATATGTTGATAAACTTCACAAGTTCTGAAATAGATTTTCCTCCATGAGAAAAAAACAAAAACCGCACCAACTAACCAACTAAGACTGGTTTTGTTATTCTTTAATCCACTTGATAAAAAGAGCTTAAGAAAACCTGGTCAAACACTGAACTTACAGAAATGGTATTTGTTACAGAACAGCATATATATGTTACAGAACAGAGATATAGTCTGCATGTTCAAGGATTCAAGGTCTTATTACCTCTTGGTTCCTGCATATTTTTGATTATACAATTTTCAGACTAATGTTGATACAAATATTTTTGGGAAATGCATGAGGATTCATCTAACATTGTTTTTGGCTATATGGACTACAATTACATAAAAGATTACACCTGAATATTAAAAAATATTATGCTTCTCAAAAAATATTTTCTTTAAAAGAAACAAAAGTTTGGTAAAAGAGCTGCTGCATTGTCAAGGATATTCAGGGATGTGTAAGGAAGAGGAACCAAGAGCAACTAAAAAATCAGAGAAAAATAACATTACTTTTTCAGGAAAATTCACATTCAAAAAAAGAGATAGTGAAAATAAAAGTTCATTTCACAAGCCATCGTTAGTTGGCTGCAGGTACTTCTATCTGCCAAAAGTGGTAGCTAAATGTGTGTTTATTTTAACAGAAATTGTATTTCAAAGACCTTTAAAAAAAAGTCTTCCTGAATAGTTAAGGCAATTGTATCAATTGGACAGCCTGGACAGAAAAAAAAAGATTAAAAAAACACCAACCAAACAAAAAAATACACCAGAGCTTTGACTTGGTCGCACCTATCAAATGTCACATTCTAAGATATAATGAAATACAGACACAGATACCAAAATAACTGGAGTTAACTGGAATCAATACAGGAAAATCAGAGCAGGCCTTTCCCTCAGTTAATTTGCCCTGCATTGTTCAGTACTGACTCTCAGTACCTGAGCGATTTAGAAGCCACCACTCTGTTGAAGTGTGCTTTTCCTTTTCTTTCTGAAGTTCTCTACACCATCCTCACAAAACTACATATGAGATCTTAGTCATTACAGGGAATCTTGATTCTCAGCTGCTGTTTGCCTTGGAAGATCTCCCTTTATGAAACATCCGCTAAAACAGATGTCTTCCGGCTTGGACTGAGAGAGCAGAAATGAAGTAACAGCTTGAAAATCACAGTATCCTCATGAAGCCTGGCAATACAGACAGCAAAGGAAACTGGAAACAAGGTGAGAACTCAGCTAACCATCTGATTTCCAAGCAGATAGTCTGTTATATGCTGCATACAGCAGGTACAAGGCTGAAAATGCATTCATATTAGCAGAAAGCACATAGTAGATGTTGCTGAAAGGAACCCAAAGTTTTTTAATCATTACAAGTAACCATGCCATGTGCTATCAAGGATCAGCTGCAGATAAACTAGAGTACATTTTTGTAGATATCAGTGTTTTCCTTCCTTTTTTTAGCACTGCACATTGCTATCCAATGAAAAATGAAAAAGTGACAAAAAGATCAAAAAGAGTAAGACTGATTCAGCAATACAAAACCTCAGCTTTTAAAGCCAAAGTTATTTTGAAAGTAGTACACTTTTCTAGACTGCATTGTATGAAGATGCTTGGGTGTTGAATGTGTCTAATATGTATCACATATTAGACATCACACGCAACAGAAATAAGATTGCCCCAAGTTGCCTGAAACTTAAGACAGTTTCTTTAGTATTTAAACATATAGCAAGTCTACCCTGATTCCATGAATCACCGAACACTTCGCTGCCTCTGAAAGATTCATGTAGAACTGGCACGAATTAGATTCTCCTCCTGCAACAAACTTAGACAAGCAGACTGCAAATATTAAAGTTAAATGATTGTGATGCAACCTTATGCACAAGGATTT